GCTCTGGGGAAACGTTAGCTGCAATCAGTGCAAAGCTCAAGGGAAAAATAAAGGAAGGTATACATGCACTGCAAAAAAAAAAAAAAAAAAAAAAAAAAAAAAGGGGAATTTCCAAACCAGGAAATTTTTCCCCATTCCAAAGCTGAGAATTTTTCCCCAAAGCCCACTTGCTGGAAAAGGCATTTCCATCCTCCCTGACAGCAGCCGGGCTCTGGCCAGCATCACACCGGCAGCCTCGCTCAGCTCTGATGGAGGAGCTACGGTCCAGGCAAGCCTCCCACCGCGCGCTGCTGTTTGTTTTAATGCTTCCCACCGAACATCAGCCGAGACTGAAGAACGAGGAGCACACAGAGACACCCACAATAAATGCCAGCCCTTGTTAGCTGAGTAAATTGTGTGCTTAGCTGAGTCTTGGAGGAATCTTTGCAGAGTAAACACTGCCAGCTCCGTGTGCAAGAGTAAATATGTGAAGAAGATGCAAAGACATGAAGAACAACTTCAGAGGAATGCGACTGAGCAGCACCGATGATGGAACAGCGTTGCTGGACCTGGGCGAGGAGCCCCAGCTCGCTGCACACTCTGAGCTCCTCCTGCCACAAGTCCCTGCGGTGTCTCCTTCCCCACGCCGAGACACCCCGAGCTGTTCCTTTCCAAAGGGAACCCAGGGCAGCTCAGCAGGTTTCAGTTACATACACCACCCACCACAGGAGGTAAGAACAGCACTGGAGTAATTAAAGACGTCAGCAATTAAGACAGGAGGGAGGTGTAGTGTGATGAGGAGGCAAGACCTGAAGCCGGGGAGAGCAGCCCAGCCTTCACCCTGCCTGTAAGTTCCGCTCAGAGGCACACCGCAGCGCATCCAGCTCAGCGACAGGCCTCCAGGGCAGCTCAGGCACGCGAAGAACAACTCTCAGACTCCAGACAAGTTGTTACCGTGCTGCCACCTTCCCCACAGCCCTGGCAAGGACAGAGATCCTCCTCAGCCAGGTCTTCGATTTGCGCTTTTGCGATAGGATGGGGTGGCCGCAGCAGCCGTTTCCTTCGAGCTCAACAGCTTTCTCCCAAACAAGAAATTTCTGAGCAAAGCTCTTGCGAAACATCACACCTCAACACACAGAGCTTGGCAAGGACGGACAGACAGACTTTGGCACTGCATCCTTTGCCACCAGGGACAGAAATCCCAGCATTTTGCGAGCTGATTCCGAATGCCTTCCACATCGCTTCTGAAGCGACCCAAATGACGCCACGCTCTGCGGCTCAATATTTCCCCTGACAAAGTTCTGAGAATCAGTTTCTCACATGTCCCTCCTGGGTCCCTCCAGTAACACGCTCACTATGACTTAACGCTGGTGACAGGATGATTGACTCCGAATCAAAGAGATAACGCGTCTGACAGCCTGCTCATCATTAATAGTAGATTCATTATTTTAGCACATGCAAAGGAGTTAATTTAAACGCCAGGAATAGGAGTACAGGCTTTATTTAAATTTCTTTCATCGCTATTTCTGTTGGCCGCCCTTCTATCCCCCTCCTCCCGCAGGTTAGCAGCGGGTACGGCAGGAAGATGGGGTGCAGGGACCCACCGCCCAGGTTGGTGCTGTCCCAGGACCCCGCAGCAGGAAGGGAGGAACCCAGAGGATCCTCCAGCCCCGATGGTTATTTCACACCATCTAGTGGCACGGGCTCACCACGCAGCTCCAGCACCAGGCAGCACGGGATCCGAACACCACCACCCCTTTCTCCAGGCTGGTTCTTCCCCTTGCTGGTTTTTCTGCTGTTGGTCACTGATGACTTATTTGCTACATTCTAAGATGTTGCATTTAACCAATCAGGCAGTAAACAAAAGCAAAACCACTTCAGCCAGCATCTCGACCACACGCATTGCATTTAACCAATCAGGCAGTAAATAAAAGCACAACCACTTCAGCCAGCATCTCGACCACACGCACGCCTGCCACACAGAACTATCTCTGCTCCTAGCTTTTTGAAACAGGAATTCTCATCTCCCAGGCCAGGGCGGAAAGCCTTCGAAAGCAGCACTGCCTGCTCCAGACAATAAAATAACAACGCGCTGCTGGGTGTTTTCTCAGAGTGATTACGATCAAGCCTGCTCCTAGCCAGGTGAGCGTTAAGCCTGCCACAGAGGACAGCGTCCGTGCAAGCTGTACTGCGGCTGCACAGCTTTCTGCTCCCGCTGGGGGCCTACGGAACCTGCAGAAAACGTGATGTTTCTTTAGAATATAAGCCCTTTCATGGGCCATCTGAAAAATAAATTTGTTTATAACAGCTGTGAACAGGCACTCACATTGGTCACTTTTTCCTCAAAAAGAATTTTAAAAATCTCCTTGTTTTTCAAACTACTTGGTAACAAAAGCTCAAAGCTTCAGTATCTTTTAACGAGGCCGTCAGCCACTCAGAATGGAACCAACAGCCCCTGAAAGTGAGTTGCAGACATGAAGATAAGGTTGTCCAAAACATATCTTGGGATCCAAGCATGGTTTAAACTTCAGAGACATCCCAAAAGGTGCATTCACCCACAGCTCCTTGCACGAGACACAGTCCAGATGCTGTGGCGCTTACCTTAGTTTCTGTAGCTTCGCACACCCCTAAGCAACGAGAACATGGTGTGTAAGAGCCACTGAATAAAAGTATTTATTTTAACATGTTTGCAGAGCCACACATATAAAGTTCCCACCTTATCTGTGAGCAAACCACCCTTTTACCCCATATCTACAGATGTAAAACATTTAATTATTTACTCGCACTACAAAATAAAGTAGGTCTGATGTCAAGGCACCATTACTCATCGTATCAGTATTCTTGCTTCGTTACTATGAAGGTTTGAAGATCTAAATTGTTTTTGGAAGCTGACTTGCATATTAAATAATGAAAGGTAATTCTTCCAAGAAGAAATCCATATTACCAAGCTGTTGCTAGTTACAATAAAATATGAAATGGCATAGAAACACTCTTAAAGTGCGTTACTGCATCTAAATAAATAGCAGCATTGATGCCTCTTCAAAACAGAGGACCTGACAAGGAGGGGATAGTGACCAGAACTGAAGGATTTTGCACTATAAAAAGAAAACGCTGAAAAAAAAAATGCAAGGCAAAAGCCTTGTGTCATTAGTCTATAAAGATACAGCTTAATAACAAGGGCTTCATACATATGAGACAGAAGTGTTCTTCACCAGTCCAGGAGGCAGAAGCCCCCCTACATCTATTGCAAATATACACACCCACACAAATGCTTCTTGGGGATGGAAAAAAAAAAAAGTATCTTCCATTTAACCATTGACTAGCACAGGCTGTATAAAAATATCAGCCTGCAGTGATAACAGAGCAGTTTATCAAGTTTCTCCCTGGCAGTAGATATTACATCAGTCTGATAAAAACAAGAGGATTCCAACGCAGTAGTACATTGAGTTCATGGCTTTCTTCGCCTAAAAAAAAAAACAAAAAAAAACCACACGCCATAAACAACTTTCAGATTTTACAGAGCAGCAGTTTCCCTTAACAGTAGTCAGTAACCTCTTTACCTCTTCTGCTGTATGCCTAAGTCTCACATATGTTCTAAGCTAAGTGCTACAATTAACACAATAAATCTAAAGAGCTTATTTATCAAGAAACAGTTGTATTATTTTGCTTTCTTTTTTAAAGAGCCATGAGCTTAAACCAAAGTTATTTGAAGTTATTAAATAATTTAAATAAAAATCCAAGCTCCAACTCAATGCACAGGCAAACTACAGGATTTACTACAACATTACAAGGCTGTAGCAAGGCTGCAAGTAGCCAGGTCCAGTTTCTAATAAGATACGTCATAAAATGCATAAAAGGCGCTATTTGTCACCTTATCCCAAAGAGGCATTACTCATTTCGGATGCTCTCCAAAATGCCCTTCAAACCTTTTGGATTCCAAATACAGTTAAGTTTGGCTGATTTTGGCTTCACAGAAACCTCGTCACCTCTCCAGCCCTCTCTCCTGCCTGTAAACATGTCTGGTAAAACTGCAGATTTCCTTCCCCTGAGCTGAACAGGTGACTTCCACACCACTGCCAGCACCTATCTGCAAGAGGCCAAACCTGGATATTGAATTCTGTTCTGCAACAGCTACTGTAACAAGACTATCTTATCCGAAGCACTTTTTTTGTCACTGAAGTGGTTTTTCAGATTTGGGGCTCAAGTGTTTGGGCACTAGCCTTACTAACTGCTGGGTCATTTGGACTTCTTGCTGGAAATTGGGACTCGTGGTTTGGGAAGCTCGATTTATGTGTGCGACCACCACCGAGCTCACCACGTTAAAGAACGGTAAGACAGTCCCGAAGAATTCAGACTTATCTATGCATTTGAAAAAGAAGAATGTTTTTTCTAGTGTGACTAGAGCCCATGCTTCCTTAGCAGTGCCATGACAACGACAGAGCAGGTAGCAGCTGGGATATTAGCTACATTCAAGTATTCCATTAGGTGATCCCACAGCTGCCTCAGTTCCCTCCTCCCTAAGCCACACTGAAATGAATACTAAGGTATTTGTAACCTTATTTAATTTATATTTATCTAAAGAAAGAAAAATGAATATATTTTACTACATCAGCATCTGATAAAGGCTATGGGGGTGGAAGAAGAGGGACACAGCTTAGCACTTTGCCACAGCCATCCCTAAACCCTGTGCCCCTCTGGGCCTGCCAGGCATCCTACAGTTCCCAGCTTTTTACAGCCAAGAGAGCACAAGATCGAACTTGACATTCTGCTCACTGCACTGAGTGACAGTTTTACCCAGAAGACAAGTTACTCATTCTGGTTAGAGTCTCCTACAGATCTATCCTGCCACCAGTTTCCAACACCCAATAAACCTTCTTATCTTACAGTACGAAAGGGATGTGCACCCCAAACCTAAAGAGGGAAGGGCAGCAAGGTCAAGGGGAAAAAAAAAGTTGTCTCACTTCAGATGTTATCAGGAAAGGGACTGCAACCCCCCAGCTGCAAAGGAGAGATGCACCTACTTGGGCTGAGCATGATGCTGATATCCAGGTCCAAGAGCTGATCCTGCTCTCATCTCCACTGCCACGGAACACTGAGACGACACAGAAAAATCAGTCTCAGCTGCTAGCCCCCCACCCAGCTATCAGCATTACCCCAAATTCTCATCCTGATCAAGCATGAGATGTCCCCCTCCTTTCATAGCTTACTCTGGTTTCTACATCCGTCCATTCAGAGTCTGCGGCATCCTCCAGTGGGTCAGGATGGGAAGGTGACGATTTTCGCTTTCGGCTGAAAGAGGCATACGTGGGAAATAAGTTACAAGCCTCGTGTATTTTGGCAGATTCTCATACACAAGAGAATACATTTTATACTTTCTTAAAAAATACTTCACTCTCAGCAGCAGACCAGTCTTAAAAGCAGATACAGTAGCTACAAGCCTCTCCAAGTTACTTTTATATGATTTACAAGTTAGATGCAACAACGTTTTGTTCAATCCTTTGGACCAGGATCAGTTACTATTTGGGTTACAGACCTCCAACAGCATCAGAACCTAAAACTACGAGGACAACTCACCCAGTTGGAGATTCTTGCTTCAGAGTCTCTATCTCTGTGAACTGCACAGCCTGTCCGCCACCCCTGGTTTTGAAAACATCACCCTGGAAACCAAAAGCAGTTTACAAGGTACAGTCACTAGGTCAGTATGATGGCTTCAGTGTCAGCTCTCAAATGAAAACTTAAGTGCTTACAACTGTAATTTCCTTGCAGGTTAGCAGCCAGCAGGTATATGTGCACTCTCCCCCCCATTAGATATCTTATTATACACCAGACAATAACGAGTGAACACCATCTACCCTAATCACCATGCAGGATACCCACAGAGCAGTTACTATGCTGATAAAAATTCCTGTACGATAACAATTATTATTAAGTAATACTACAGAAATCACAGCCTAGGCTGAGTTTCAGTAGTTCTGTTCCACAGCACGAACACACATGTTGTCAGCTACACAAGACTTTGCTTTTAGAAACATCTCTGGAAACTACAAGGTTGCCTTACAGGAGTGAGGGCCTTTTTAAAACTCAAAAAAGAGAAAAAAGACAATATTGGAAGGCCCACGACTACAGGAAAAATGAACCAAGAGCTTGTTACTACAAATTACACAGAGTTCTCGAATTGCCTTGGGTAAGTACAGTCAGCATTTTGGGACATAAACATCACAAGCGTTCAAAGCCCAGGCTGTCTCACCAATTTGTTTGTCAGTACTAGAAATTATGTCCTGGAGCATTGGAGCATCCATCACTACAGCAAGCTTACTCATATTGCTAGTGGAAATCAAATAACATCGCTCCAACAAGGCTGACTCCACAGGATGAGCTGCAGCCACAAGTCTAAGAAACTTCCACTACAAATGGATTATTGCATTTAACTAGGGGGGAAAATAAATTAATTACTTTCAAGAAAAACGGTGACTGAAATAAACAAGCTTGAAATGGTTTCTATGAAACAATGACAAAATTCAAGAAAAGTCTTTTCAGACTTTAAAAGCTCCCTTAAATCCATCTGCACAACCTTTTCCAATCAAATCTCTCAGCAGACGGAGTCAAACTGGTCCTTTCCCCAGGCAGTGAGCCTGCAGCACAAATGCACTGCCAGAAAGAGGCTTTGAGAGGGTTACCATCACAAGTTCACCACGAAGGTGTTTGCTTTACCTTAATGAGCTTTGTCTCAATCTCCCCATCAGAGGCTAGCTCCTGGTGAGTCAGCATGTACTTGTCACACTTAGCTAGTGCCTTTTCACTGGCAGCCGCCACCGTGATGGCGTGAGGGACGTGCGGCTGCATGACTGTCTCAGTGGGCAGGTTAGAAGGTGGCTTATGATCTACCCATCGCTCCCCGGCCGAGCGCGAGCGTCTGTGTCTGAGGCGAACTGGAGGCGCGTTCTGATCAGAGTGGAAGAGAATCAGAAGAAATCAGCACATGGTAAATCTCTCGGAGAATATCATTAGCAGAAGTGAACTCTGCAGGTCTGGTTAAGATGTGTTTGTACACAGATCAAAGCTTTGCTCCTAAAGGGCTTCCAGAGCGCACTCCGAGAGGCACCGTGACCAAGAGCCTTGCATTAAATTATTAGTGGATTATTTCTGTGCCAATTCCTATTTCTTGTCAATTTGAGCTAAGCGTTATCCAATCTGTTGCACTCCACACCCAGTAAAGTTTCCCCAAGGAGGGCACCTTTATGTTTGGTAACGCTCCTCCTGAGTTTCCAAATCAAAACAGATTGCTACAAACATATTAACCAACCAGAAAAAGAGAAATTTATGTTTCCATGGATGCATTCATGGATCAAAATGGATTTTTGAGGCAGCAAAGCAAGCAGATGAAGTATGGATTTCCAACAACTCCAAAGGAAGGCCACCTAACACCTGAGTAAAGAGAGCAGGGGAAGCATCCCCTGTGGTAGTGCTATCGCTTCTGGACTCAGCTGTTGGAAACCCATGAGAAATGACTGATGTTCACACATTTTTATTTTATGAACATTGTTGTCAGTTGCTCAGGAAAATCAGAACATTCTGGAAAACCTGCTTAAAAACCTGGGTGCCTTCAGGATCTTTGAATGCACTTTCAGAAGAGTATTTGCAGACTCTCTCTGTCCCGTTTACACACTAATTTGAGAGACCTCTGAATCACAGCAAGGTTGCACATCCCAAACCTAAGAATGCAAATTGTGTCCACTGTAGTTTCAGGTGATGTGCATCAATTAGGATTTCTTTGCCCAACAGATGTGAGATTGGCTGTACCCTTTGGAGGTACACCTCTTACAAGCCTAAAGCAGCTCTTAAAAATTAAATGCACATAGGGAAATGTGGCTTTCAAGCAAGAAACTTCCATGAAAATTAAAAAAAAAGAAGAACTTCAATACTTCCACCCCCTTTTAGTGGGCAAGTACTTATTTCCATTGGTGGTTTTTTGAAACAATTCTGCCAAGGTGCCTTAGAAGTTACGTCCAAGGAGCGGGTACACTACTACTGGTCACATTTTACTGCAGCAGAGACCACACCCCTTCCTCTGTTGACAGTGGTTCATGTGAGTTAACTGGAATAGCATTTGCTTAAAAGCACGTCCTGACCTCAAAGAGCCAGCAAGTAACCCAACTTTTGAGAACACTATCAAAAATTAATCATACCCTGCTAAACTTGCCTCCTCTCTCGAGAGGCTGGGGTTGTACAATTCTCTTTGATTTACCTGAGCCACTGCGACAGCGCTATCGTGTGATAGAGACACCGCCAATTCAAACATTTGCGCCCATTAGTTTAAAAAGGAAAAAAGTCTCCCACCTGTAAGCAAAGCCCCCAGTTTTAACGCAGATGCGAAAATTAGGGAAGAGGATTCTAAGAGTGTTAAAGTGAGCAGCCACACAAGTGAGATGTTTGCCCAAGCGCAATTTCCAGTAGACGTTTGCAGACATGGCTCATAAAACCACCTTTTAAGCTGCCCAAACAGACTACGGTAAATTGCAGGCTGCAAGACCAATTTGAGGAGACAGACACAAGTTAAAAAGCAGGGACGTTCACAGCTAGAGAAAAGGTTCAGCTCGTCAGGAGTTCCTTACTAGAGCTATTTATGCGCTAGCAAGAAATACACACGCTGCTTTGGAGGAGTTTTTAAACATCATGTTAAGGAGTCAAATAGAACGAGTAGTGAGACAACTCAGAAACAGTACTGTTCTAGGAGAAACATGTTTTGGGGAAAACTCCAGTCTACGTTAGGTGTGCTCAATGTCAGAGAGCAGTTTCAATGAGATTTTAAGGCAGACTAAGCAACACTACGTTTAGCTGTTGACAGGAGCAGCACTAACCCTGCAGCATCGATCCTCTTCTATTTCTAGCTCATCTCTAGGGCTGGGAACCTCAATGACTCCAGTGAAGCACATCCCTCGCCTTCTGTCTGAGGTGTTATAGTCTCTACTTTGTCCTGGTTCTTGGTGTCTACTCCTTGCATTAGAAGTGCCACTGGTCTGCTTGTGCGAAGGGGTTTTCTGCTCCCACTCCATAACACAGGATGCCACAGAAATGCTGCTACAAGAATTAGAACGCCTGGGCACCTGCGGGTTGCTCACGAGCCGCTGGCTGTTAGGGACCTGAGTAATACAGTTACTAGAAGTCTAGAGAGAACAGGAAAGAAATTAGTGAACATGCAGAACTGTCAACTTATAAGGCAATAAAACAATGAATACTGACAATGTGCAGAGTGACAATTCAGCTAGTCAGGCTTATGGTTTTGGACAGGCATTGTGTTGCAGTGACAGCATAAAGAATCAGATATTCTTCCAATACCAGTGGCATTAGAAGGTAGGAGCACAAATAAAGAGCACTGATAAATACAACAGCAGACAAAGAATTCAAAGCAAGTGTAAGTTATACAAATTCTGGGCTTGGGAACTTATTTTCTAGACACTAAAGAGAACGGCCCTAGCACTGTTCATTCTTATAAATATGCTTTTCCCTATACCAAGAAGTGTTTTAAAGGTGACTTACAGGTACTGGTGAAGGAGACACTGATCTCTGAACAGGCTTTTCTCGGTCTCTCTCCCGCGAAGGCCTCTCTGGCTTTTCATTTTTTGGTTCAGTAACAATGGCCTTCAGTTGCTTCAGTTTTTCATCTTTGACCCAAAGTTTGTTCTGCATTTCCAGCTGCTTTGCCGCCACACGACACTCCTACAAAGACACAGGAGGAAAAGCATGAAGTACCTCACTCAAAAGCACAAGTAGCTGTGCTGAAAGTTTGAAGGGAATTGCATATTCCACATGGAATTAATTTCTTCCCCGCTGAGATACAAGCTATTGGAAATAGTGACATATCAAGCTAAAGAAAGATTTTCCAGATTACAAAACAGTACCATCTCCATGCTTAATACCAGCACTATATAAAAAAAAAAGAAACAAACCCAAAAAGACCCCAAAAAAACCACAAAAACAAGCCGCCCAGTTCCCCCATCACACATTTCTGACAGATATGGTAGTGTACTTACACACTCCTTCTCCCATTTCATGGTTGTTTCTGCCACCATGCCTTGCAATCGTGCCTCCAACCTACGCTTGTCAGAAGCCTGACGTTGCAATTTCTGACTCTTGCTTTCTAGTTCTTGCTGAAGATTACGCTTGTCTTCTTCATAAATTGTTGTAGTTTTCTCTAAAATCTCAATCTGGAGGAAGAGAGGAAGGACTTGGCATGCTTCTTAGAAGTGCAACCATCTAAGCCCGGAGTTGCTATTATATTTGGCTGTTAACATATACTAGAATATTAACTGTTGTACAAACATACCCAGATAACTAGTTCACATTCTAAAGAGCTTCAGATATTTTACACCTTTCTTATAACTTATCCACAAAGTACTTTTAATCTTATTTCTAATGAAAATGAAAAAACTGACCTTGTATTCCAAAGTTTTAATTTTCTTCTCCAGGCGTTCTAGCTCCGTTTTCTGCCCTGCTATTGTTTTCTCTTTTTCAGACAGTTTTCCTTGAATATAGTTCTCCTTGGATACAACACTGGAGTCAAATTCTTGCAGCATTGTTTTAAATGCAAGCACTGCAAGAGAATTGATATATTTTAATCTTCTCCCTGTATCTCCATAATATCAAAAGCAGTTCTGTTTTTCTCCAACCAATTTAACTCTACCGACTATTTAATTACCCCAACAACTGTTTTAAAATGATCAGTCTAGACATGATACTTAATTCCTGTTGATACAGAAGAGATCCTTTGAGTAGTAATAAGGGCACCAAAAAAATCTAGTTCCACACTGCTGTTCAAACTCTTACCATTTTTGGCAAACTCCTCTGACAACATTTGTCGTAGTTTATGGCGCTTTTCCAGGACTTCAATAAGCTTTGGAATTGTTTGATCATCATTAACATCCAATAGCTCACATGAAGGCAATGGAGGAAAGCTCTGCAAAAACGTCTCCGAAACAGACCAATTTCTGTAAGATTTAAAGCCAAGAAAGCCTGTCAGCAAGCTACAGAACAGAGAAATTCCATTTGACAGTGCCCAGCCACAGATCATTCATTCCACAGTACCACGAAGCAGACAGAACCTAGAATAATCAATGAGAACTAGAAGCTTTCAGAAGAGATGACAGTGTTGAGAAAAGATGAAATGTGACATTCTCGATTCATTGCTCTGTAATACCTCCAGGCTACTCTTCATTTCTAAAGTAGACCCTAAGCATCCAAAACCATCAAAGCATTATCCTCAGCACAATTTCCTTCCAGGAGCTGCAACAATGGGAGCATGAATTCAACTCACTGCCAATAACAAAGAATTACTTTGAGACTTACAGAGCAACCAGGTTTAGACTACAAGTAGCACTGCAGCCTGAGAAGAGCAGGACCTGTTGCAGAGAAGACTCACAACTAACAGTTAAGTGAAGTTTTTTTTGCACTTTCAAGGCTCAAATAACTTGTTTTAAAAAATAGCCTTCAACTCCAAACAGAAAAAAAACCAGCCTGTGCTGTAATCACCTAGCATTCAAGTATTTACCTCCATTTATGGGGCCGCCCCGCATCTCCAATTTCCGTGACAGTTCCTCTCTGAAGGCTTGATTCCTGAAGCGCCGTCCTGGCGTTAAGCCACAGAGTGGTCTATCCACAGGTCTTGCAACTTCAACCTCCTGGGTCATTTCTGCAAAGCGCATGACTTGCTACAAAAGAACAAAAGCAAGCTTAACAACAAAACTAACCAGAAACAGTCCAATGCAAGATAGAAAGTGGTATTTTAGGTCAATTAAAGTATTAGAAGAGACAGTATTAAGCTATAATCTCAAGTAGTTCCTGATTAGATAGTTTATCTGAAGTGCCCAAGCAATAAAAATTACTGTTCCTCTCATCTACTAAAGAAGTACAAGAATTTAGTGACAAACACGAAAAAAAAAAAAAAAAGAATAGGAGGGAATGAGGCAAGATCCACAAGGAAGTTACCAAGCTTTCCTCGTAGTCCTCAGCTTTCGGATTAACGCACACAATCATACGCACTTTGCCTTCACCATCAAAATAGTTCTTGAAGAGATGAGTCAGTTTGGAATCTCTGTACGGAACCATCTTAAGATAAAGCACACGAAAGATCTAGTAAGCTTTCATTACACCACATCTTCATCAAATCAGAAGATAATTAGATAATGGGTTCCATACCTTGTTTGTTCCATACAACTGGTTTTCCCGTAGAACTTCAATACATGTTCTTAAAGTCATCAGTGACTGATTAATATTACCTTTAAAAAAAAAAACAACATGATAAAAACCTCTGTAAGCAGCCATTTGGATGATGTTCCCAAATTATTTAGCAGCCTGTTTCAGAATAAATTGCCAGGACTTCAGATAATTGCTCTAATTAACTGAAGTACCAGAGTAAGTGCTACTAAAAACTTCAAGTTTCCAAAGCAGAGGATTTAAGGCCATAAAATCAGACAACCGAACAACATGACAGTACACTTCAATCCTTCCCATCATTTCTTTACTAGGAGACAAGCCTAATATCACCATATATCGGCATGTAAAATTGCCAGGCTGCCGGAAGGTGGTACGTACCTGCTTCTCGCAGCCTGTTCCCTTCCGCTTTTGTTCTATTAGTTCTTTCACTTCCAGCCAGATCAACTAAGGACAGCTGGCTTAAAGTGATCTGTTCTTTCTCCTATTACACACAAACACAAAAAATCATGTTAGGCTAATGATTAGCTCTATATTCACTGCCTTCTGAAGGGAGGATGATGACCCACACCCCTCTCCCAATCGTAAACTGCATGCACACTTAAAAACGTGTTGTACCTTTAAATAAAGTCTGACGGCATTTTTATAGCCCTTAATGCAAGAAGCTGTGCCCACTATCTTTTTTGTAAATTTAGTAAATGCTTTCTGTTTTGGACCACAAGATCGATAGAACAAGGGTGCTCATTCAAATCCTCCAACTTTTAGATTCTGAACAGGTTTTGCTCAAAAGAAGCAGAGGTTAAGAACAAAGGAATAAGCAGCTTCACTCCATTTTATGCTCTACTTCCACCCCAAAAAGACTAATTCTGTCAAGGACTAGAAACTTAATTTTTATTTGGTTACATTACAAATGAAATTGCTAACCAGCAAGATGCATTCGCTCCAGACACAGTAACTGTTCTGGCAGGCCACGCTGCAAGGTTCAGCACCTTTTCTAACCCACGTATATGCGCACACATCTCTCCTGTAACAGCCTGCCCTGGATTTTACCTGTAGCACATTGTCTCCATCCGCATCCAGGGGTGCCTGGGCCAACTTTATAATAAAAACACTGTGAGAGCGACTAGATTCTCGATTCAGCTGCGTGTTTGCAATACGCCTCTTCTTTTGACCTGTTTAGAAGAGCAAAAACAATTCCTCCAAAAACCCATTTTGTTTAATGGACCTGTCACTGGCAAAGCCAAGTCTGTGTTCAGCATGTAAAGGATTACACATCTATACTGAATTTAAGAAGTGATATTCCAAGATTTACCTCTCCAAAACACTTCAAAAGCTTCCTCTGTAGATTTCACCTCTACTTCTGTGCATCCTGTGACGTACATGTTGTGATTCTGGTCCTCACGAAGCATTTTGGATTGTGGGGGTCTTCAGGACAGGGAGGGAAAAAAAAAAACCAACAAAAAAAACCCAAACCAAACAGAAAAATTGAGTGGAGTTTTCTGTACAACAATACATTGTGTCATGCAAATTTTCTTTTGTTTAAGGACAAAACTCAGACTGAATATGTCAATTACCCATACAGCAGACAGAAGAGGAAGTACGAGTACACTGACACACATTCAGCCAAGATTAGTTACACTTCAGCTACTGCTTTAATTTAGAAGCTACGTTTAATTGCAATTCTTACTGGAAATCAGGGTTTGGGGTGGCAGCTACTGTTTTTCTACATGCATACAGAAGCAAGATGGCTTCAGCAGCGTTCTAGATTCGCTAGTAAAGCAAGAAGAGACAGGGCACCAGTCTAAGTTTGTTTTCTGCTTCTACTTAAAGAAAATTTAACTTTTCACTATTTGGAATAATATGCTTATGCACATACATAAAGTCACCATTTCGCACAGGAGTGTTGCAATTGTTCCACCTACCAAAAAAACAGGGTTAAAAAATATTAAATCATTCAGCTTGTGTCTAAAATATTTTTAAATATAATACACTGTAGCTTCCATAAATAGAAATAATCCAAGATTCCTCATATACTGATTTTTGGACATAGGCACAATAGTAAACCAATAATTTTATGCTTCTTTAAAAAGCATTCACAGGCATTTAAACTCATTTCAGATGAGTACCCCAGGGATAGCTCTCGATGTTTCAGAGCAGTGGCTTGTTTTGCTCTAGTTAGTCCTTGTAAATCAGCCAACTCTTTAATTAACGCATGTACCGATGGATATGAGCAGGGTTTGCTTTAATGGTTTTAGAATTTTAAAAATATATTCAAAGTTTAATTTGCAGATTGTTTTTCTGACGGTCTCAAGATTTACCGATGAGAGATCAGCCAAGCGCACACCTTTCCAAAAAAACACCCAAGAATTTTATTTATGAGAAAACTAATTTCTGTTTTTATGGAAATTACCGCCATCGAGTGAGATAACATGTATACTCGCACTAACTGTAAAGCAGCAACAAAATAGCAACTTTCACCCAATACAGTGTTTCCAGGAGAAAACATCAGCTATGGAACAGCTTACTCATCAAGCTGCAGTCACCTGCTAGGAATAGTAACTCACAGAACAACATGAATGGACTCAGAATCTTGGTGGGATACAACACACACCTAACAAATTAAATATTTGCTTATTAATCTTCCATTATAAGAAGGAAGGGAGCACTAAGCCTCAGCAGCAACAGAACAACCATCGGTACTCAGCAAATTTCAGTACTTTTGTCTGGACCCCTTGGCCATCCCCTTTTCCACATGACTTCTGAAATGATTTCCATGAATTGAGCCAGACTCGCCAAGACTACAGCCACAAACACAACCTGTGGCTCCCACAAAAGCATAACCGAAGTAGGAGTAATGGTATTCGTAACACTAACTTGGGTTTTATGGGATCAAAGGGAGCTTCCTCCAGGAGGTCATAGATGTAGTTGTTGTAGATCTCGATATAGGAGACAAAGATGCTGTAGACATTATCTTCATCAACCTCTTCCACTTTGCAGTGATCTCGCACATTGATCATATCTGCAAATTCTGGATCGATTTGTCGCCTGTTGAACACACACACACGTGTGATCGTAGCGGAGCATCCCCAGCCAGCTAACACGTCCGACAGTGACTACACTGACAGTTAAAAAGCAAGTCTATGCCAGAGAGCATAATTAGAGCACAGAATTTCTCACACTAGCAGCTAATGACATCACATCCAGTCACATTAGATTAAAAAAAGCACTCCGAAAAGTTTAAGTAGAAAAACTATCAACTGTGCTCGGCTGCAGTCAGAAACGAATTGCAAAATCCCTGGACAGTCAACCTTTCTATCCTCTGTTCAGCAATCTCACTATTTTGCAAAATATCCCCAAGGTTAACTTCACAGTATTCCTACTCGGTGAAGTCACCACATTTTACACATGAGTTCACAGGTACAAAAAATAGGTTTGTGTTGCCTGAAGCCTTCTAATCTAAACACTTAATCACGCAATTGCTCAAACCACTTTCCACTAATATTTTTGTTTCATTTTTTCAAGACAAGAATAAAGAGACCAAGGTAAGTTAAAACCACAACAGAATAATATTTATATTACCTAAATTCATTCTGCATGTTACAATAGTTACTTACCTTCCAGATGGAGTTTTTGGAACAGGCATGGCATCTCTTTTCTGGCGCTCTAATAGAGCATCTACTTCACACTGAACATCCACACCATTCTTGTCATCAAGCTTAAAAACCTGAGCAGGGAGTATGTTTAGACCGAATAATCACAAAAAGTAATTAACATAAGGTGTTGGCCAGCAAAACAAATCATTTGATCAAGCTGTCTGGCAACCAGCAAACACCATGTCCCTCACTAACACTCTATCTGCTGGCTAACGCAAAGTAGATCTGACAGAAAAAAAAAGATATTTCCAGGATAACAATATTTCATAAAAGCTTCCAGGCTAGTATGCTACTGAGGAAGGCTTCCAGTATTATTTCAAATATATTCAGACACCAAAAACCCACAGATGTCTGACCAAAAGAAAAGCTTCGCATCATCTCCTATGTTACTTTAGATACGGTTTCCTGTGGCTTTTATATCTTGTGACTGGATTTCATTTCACAACTCAGAAAGCTTCCTCTTTCCTTTTTTATTGTCTTTAAAAAGTTAATTAAAGAATGAGTGACAGTTCTAAGGATAGACAGACCATACATCTTCATGAAATGTCTGTCTCAGCTACTACGCCTGCCTCCTTGGCCCTGCTCTTCAAATCTCAAGGGGATGGGTTCTTTTTGGTTGGTTTTCTCTTTAAAGTGCTCCACTCACATGACGAGACAGGAGATAAACGCTTTGAACAGAACATTTTATCTACTGTTCTTAGGCTGCCAGGAGCAACAGTGCAAAACTACTCACAAATCGCTTGGCCTGGAATGGTCCTATGCTGTTGAAGATCATATCCAAACACCGCGGGAGAAGCCCTCCGTCACCAGGAGACCCTGTCATGGTGTGGGTTTTCCCGCTGCCTGTCACACCATAGGTAAAAAGGAGACCTAGGAGGGACAGGAAGGTTATGGTACCGTGCTTGCTGTCTCAAGAAAAAGCTCAGTTACGATCACACGCCCTGTCTTTCTTGGATGTATCTGGAAAAAACAACGACTCCTTTTGAACAGTGAACAGTAAACTGTTCCAGCCCAGCAAAAGCTGCCGACACCAGTGTTTGCGTCTCTCGCCGACAGCCACTTCATCCACAGCTAACGGTGCCTGTCAGCCTCTCTGGGGAGAGCCTGTCGGGAAGCCAAAATGGAAGGAAGCCACTAGGGCCCAGGCATAGAGGCTTGATTTATTTTGACTGTTACTGAGGAGTCAAGCATAGAATCATTGAATCATTTAGTTGGAAAAGACCTTAAAGATAATCGAGTCCAACTGTAAATTTAACACTGCCAAGCACACCACTAAACCATGTCCCTGTTTCAAGGGCCAGCACCGCGATATCAAACCACACCCAGGAGATCAAGCCCTACAAATTGATTTATTTCTGTAGTCATTCACATCTTTTAGGCCATCCTTTTCTGCAGAAGAAAAGCTTCTCCAGTTAACAGTGTACAAAAAGATTAGACCTTGACACAAGCAACACACGCATTATAACAAAGGTAAAGGGGTTTAGAAGTAATGGAAGGCAAGGAGAGCTTCCAAGGATGTTATCTGGTAACTGAACCACAACTATTTTCATCGCAAAGTACATGTTTTTACCCAGACAAGCTATGAAACCTTGAGATATATGAAATCATAGCGACATAAGAAGCTGCATGGTAGATAGGTAGAAAAGCAGCAGAGCACAAGTACTTGCTTACCATTTTTCCCATGGACGAGATCTTCCACTAAAGGTTTAGCCACCACGTCAAAAAGCTCCTTCTGAACAACGCTGGTACCAAACACCTCTTTAAACGAATACTGCGTCTGAAGAAAAGAAGGCACACCATCCTAAACCTTCAGTACCCCTCTCCAGAAGGCCACTGCTCCAAAGTTCATCATTCCTTAGAACCACTTTCCATAAGCTCACTTTATGTACTTCCTACAAGAATTCCCCATATTGAAATTGGAAACAAAGTATTCTACATCCCGACTAACTTTTTTTTTTTTTCTTTCTTAGAAACATCATGACGTTATCTCATTTTGAGTTACAGCATGGTGTTGGGAACCTGCAGTTAACTGTTTCACTCTGTCCTGTTATTCCATATGCATGACCTAAACTCTCCTTTTCTAGGAAACATTTCTATTGATCAAGTAACAACATGAACTGCTCTGTGACCCACTAACTTCTTTCCCACACTTCATGACAGTTCACCTCTTTGTTCACACAACCTACAGCTTTGCTACCCCCACTCCCCACAGTCTATAAATAGGGAAATGCTGCTTTTTGCCCAACTTAAGTTTGGGATAAATTAACTGTTAATTAAATTGTGTCTGATTTAGCTTAGAGCTGATTTGTTTCAATTAGTCCTACACAAAAAAAGTCCTTCAAGCAGTCTTAAGTACTTGCCAGCTTTGCTTTTGCTCCTTTTACCCCTTATCCTCCCTTCAAGAGCAGCCTCTTCATAAATGGAGTATATATTTGAGAGCTAAGGGTGCATTTCTGCCCTAGAAGGTTTTCTGGTTGTGAAAATTCCCTTTTCTAAAACCACAAACAGACAATTTGAACATCACAAGAGCCACCCCAAGCTAACGGAAAACATCGACAGCTGGGAAAAGGCCCTCGACCCCCCATGGCGGGCTGGAAGGCAGCCCCTGAGCCGAGCACAGCCCCAGGCAGAGGACACAAGCACAGCTTTCCCCACCGCCCCCCAGGCCGTTACCTCCCGGTACTCCCCGTTGCGGAATATCCGGTACCCGTCGGGCGGGTGGATCTGCACCGTGGTCTCGTTGATCACCTCGATGCAGCACTCCTGGTCCGAGCGGCTGAGCGGCCGCACCCTGCAGTACACCTGGGGAAAGGGCGGGGGGAGAGGGTCACCCACCGGGCCCGCCG